TTCTGAACTTCCACACACTCCCTCACATGCACCCTGATCTAACACTTTCTGTGTGTTTTGCATTGTTTTTCTTACTCTTCTTCGATTATTGGGAAGTTCAGAACAGTGTTTTTAGGGCCCGTGTCTTTTCAAGAAGAGAGCACTGGAGATGGGGGAAAACACATCTCTTTACAACTGCTCAGGTTGAAAAGGAAGGGGTGGTGGTATTCTCTTTGAACAGCACAGTGAAACGAATGTTCTCCCTGATGCCATTCATCTTTAAGGGGTGGATGGTGATCCCAGAGAACTGGATTGTACCAATTCCTAAAGGAAATTAGAAGGGAAAAAGTCAAAGAGAAGGAAAAAGAGAAAGGAAAGGAGAGACTGACAGTAAGAAAGAAAGCATTTAAAAATGGACCCTTGTTTCAGGTGTCATTAAAAGTCTCAGAGGTAGAACAGTTGAAGCCTGCTGACCTGTACCTTCCAGCTAATGTCTCCAATTCCTAGGAAATGTGTGCATTCTATAGGCAGCTGAGAATACATTATAAGATCTCCTTTCTTTCTTGGTTAAACAGGGTCCTTCTAGACATTTAAAATAGTGGCTTGTGATCAGATCAGCAACAACTGTCTCTCCACTGATCAAAATATTCTCCATGAAAACATAATGGCTAAGATTTCTTTTTCAATCACAGTGCATTGGCAGTAAATTTAAATAATTTCCCTTTTAGACACCTCTGGGAACAACACAGACACACTGCAATGCTTTTCATTATGTGTGATGCTTTCTCATACAACACCCCTAAAGGAACTATTTGTTTGTGAAAGGATTACATTAATTTTATTTGTTCCTTCCAGGAGACTTTGCACAAGTTAGGCACAAAACCTATAGCCAGTTCTGTACAAATTCATTATGGGATACAAAGGTAAACAGGATAATGGATACATGATTCAGTTCACTTTGAACATCAGCTTTCTCCTTGTTTGTTGAATTTGCAGTGTGATTCAGGTGTGCTTGTGGTGAGCCATTCATTCTATGATGAGTGAAAGGATAGCCAAACAGTCCTGTATCCTTTGGCAAGTTTCTGCTTTGCTTTTTCAGAACAGGAGGTGTCAGGAACTGGTTAATTCTGTAAAGCACCAGATAAGAACTGGGCATCCTGCATGTTGTGGAGATTCTTTCCTGCTGGGACAGAGCATTTCCTGCCTACTGAACCATGGCTACGGCTTAATGACTCTGTTCTGCCAGGCTGGTCCACCTGCCCTCTTATCCAGTAAACCGTTTAAGTGGAAGCCTTGAAATTTACCATTCGCGGTTCTGGTAGAGAAGCAAGGAAAGGAACTGTAAGTGACACATTAATTTAGTTCCTTATGTAAGGCAGAACTGTAGATGTTTCTGGGGAAAGCATGCAGCTTGTGAAACTTCTGCTTAAGATCTGATGCTGGTCCAGCTCGTCATTGCTGCCTGGGGGATGTTCCAAGAAACCGCTGCATTCACAAAGCTTCCCGGACTTTTTTGAATCAGTGATTGATTGCAGCAGTGTGTCGTATCCTGAAGCAACTGGGGAGGGGGAGGGATAACTGGAGGTTGAACAGAGAGCCTGAAATCCCAGACCAGTAGGCTGAGATAGGGCTGGCATATGGAACACAAATTAGAAGAGTTTGCCGTTTTTTACAAATCAAACAGCCTGGAGCAGTGGGAGAGGGTAGACGCTGCCCTTTTCAGTGACTCTTTGTGGTTAACCGTGAATGTCCTGTTGGGAATCCCATGACAGCCATCTAAGGCTTGTTTTGTTTGTCAGGCAAGCCGTATAAGTATTTTGGCCTGTTCCTTGGAAGAAGTCAGTCAGTACCAAGTGACTGGATCCCTAGTGTGCCAGACTGTCCAGGCTGAGTGCCCTCAGAGGGCCTAGGCGTCAAGAGACCCACACCTCTCCCCTCAAGTCGGCTCCTCTGTTTGCTCTCCCCTGCCCCCCATCTATTCATTTCCACGAAACAAGCAGGCCTCTTCACAAAGTTTCCATGAATGCTAGCGGGCCTCCCCCCCCCCCCCTCCCCCCCCGGCAGCTCGAGTTAGGGAGAAAGAAGGCCTCTCATTTCCTGGCACAAGCCAAAGAATAAACAGTGATATTCCAGCCTTTAATCCCGTTGCTGTGGAGACCCAGATCCCGGCGAGGGAGGCGAGGGGGTGTGCCGCCCAGGATCAGATGGCATTGACGCTCGGGATGCGCTTCGGCGGGGCCTGGCCCGGCGCCAGGCGCTTGACTCCGCCTGGACATTCTTGACATAGCTCCGACTTGACTGGGAATCAGTGTTTCCTGGCAGGGCCGGGACAATAGGCCAGAGGGGCCGGACGGGGGCAGGGCCAGGAGCCTGCGCAGCTTCCCTCCTCTCCCTCCCGTCGGAGCCGCTCGCGGGAGGCGCAAGGAGGAGGGGGATTGCTACAGCCCTTTTGGATAAAGCGGGCAGGACTCAGCCCCCAGGACCTGGCGCCCTCGCTTGCTTCCCCGAAACAGCCCCACCCCAGAAGGCTGCCCCTTCCCTCGTGACTTTTAACGGTCGCAGGCAGAAATTCAACTGGAAGAGTTATCTTCGCCATAGAGAAGCGGGGTTGGGTTCTGGGGGAAACTCCATGGGGTGAATTGCTGCCCGTTGTTCCATATTTAAAGGAGTGGGAAGGCTGTCAAAAATAAAAAATGACGTCTCTATTCCCTCTGCCAAGCCCACGGGAAACAGATTGCTTTGAGGCTGAATTTGGGGGGGGGGGGGCTCTATCGTTTTTCGTTTTTCGAGAAGGGGTTTCCCCCCCCCCCAGTGCGGATTTACGCATAAGCTAAATAAGCTACAGCTTAGGGCCTCGCAATCTGCTGGGGCCTCAAATAAAAACACAATATAAAAAATGATTTCAAATATTAAAAAGGCGTATATATTTTAAATTTTTCTGAGACCAGCTGATGTAATTTAAAACAGTAGGGGGCCTCTGGGTTTTGTATAGCTTAGGGCCTCAGCAAGTCTAAATCCGGCCCTGCCCAGCCCCCAACTGGTGCGTCTCACTCTGGCTTCAGACCATGTGCGATACAGGGTCCTGCTCTCCGTGGGAAGTCCTGATCCATTATCTTTCCCCATTCAGATTTGCGAGTTGAACACTGGAGCAGCTTGCTTCCCTCCTCTCT